AAAAAATCAAAGGCCAGAACCTCAGCTAGTGTAAATATTAGATCGGACTGAAAATCAGGAGTTTGATCCTGTGGGAAATCTGCTGTACCGTACATCCCCCTTGCCCAGGTCTCCTGTGTTTCTCGGACACAGGCTGCCACCTGCAGCACCCCCGGGTCACAGCAACCCCCCCACTGCACTCACCGCACAGGACCGAACGCCCCCACCCACCCGGCGGCATGGCCGAGGAGGAAGTCCTGGCACCCCAGGGGTTCGGGAGAGGCAACAGGGCAGGCTGGGGGGAGCGATGGCACCTTCGAACTATGAGCTGATAGAGGGGGTGAGACGGGAGCCCCCCCAAAGCCACTGGCCCATCCAGCCCAGCTCACAGCATCCCCCAATGACCCCCAGCGGGCCCTGCTGCCCCCTCCATTTACCCCGGAGCCCAGGCTATGGCTGACGGTGTAATTACACCCTCTGTTCCCAGCTCCCCAGTATTGGCGTGTCCGTGGGGCCGTTCAGGCCTGGTGCCTGGTGCTGTAGCCAGGAGACAGGCCTGGAGGGGCATTGCATCGCTGCTGAACAGAACCAAACCGAACAGAATGCAAAGCAGGGGACACAAAGGGACGTTAGCCCAACGGGCTACACCCCAGAGCTCTCCTGCCCAACCCCAGGGAGCTGGCGAGGAGTGGAGGGGGCCCCGGCTGCCAGCCCCCACTCTGGAGTGCAGCGCGGCACAGAGGAGGGGGGGTTCCCGGCCCTGCCACACGCCGCGGCTCAGAGAGAGGATTTTTCACCCTGTTCCAGCTAATCCCGTTACTGCGTTTTAATCCCGTAAAGGGTGGCCCTGCGGGAGCCTCATTTACATCGATTACGGCAGCAATCCCCTCAGATCCACTCAGGAGAGACTCCGGCGCTTCTAATCCGGGCCCGATTGAAACCCCGGCCTGGATAATCCTCCCAGCCGACACGCTGACCCGCCGCTCCTGCGCTCCGCTGGGAACAGGCAACTCGAGGTGCCGGCTCCGCACACGGACGGGAGCCGTGGCTCTAGGCTCCCTGCGCCCAGCGCTGGAACCCCGGAGTCTGGGCAGGAGCCTGGGAGCTCGGCCAATGGGCCCACACCCTGGCCCTGACCGCCCTGGGTCCCATCTGGGGACACCGGAGTGTTTGCTGCTGGCCTCCCCCTGTCCCGGCCCCCACCCGATCAATTCAATCCCGCTGTGTCCCAGCTGCGTCCAAGTCCCAAACAGAGCCGGGCCATGCAATGGAATTTCAAACCCACCCGTCCCGGCCCCACATCTCTATGACGGGCACTGACCCCCAACACACAGCAATCTGCTCCTCCAGGCTGGCGCATGCGCGGGCACCACCCGGCCCAGCTGAGTAGGGCCTGCCAGAAATGGGGCAAGAAGGTTAGAGGGGACTGAGTCCACAAAGCCCTGCTCCAGGGCTTGGATCACTGGCGAGGCTTCCTGGCCAGGCTAGGAGATGCTGGCACAACCCCCACACACTCCCCTTCGCGTCCCACCCTGGCCGTGCCCCCCGGTAACGCCAGAATTGTGTCTTATCCCACCAGGCCCCGGCTCCCTCCTATCTCGTGGGGACTCTGACCATCGGCCCAAGCCGGTGTCTAGCTCAGCGCAGCTCCTGCGTTCTTCACCTCCCTGGCGTGGGATCCCTCCAGCCCCGGCTTGTATCACAGTGCCTCCCACTCTGTCTCCGTCGCCCTGCTAGCGAGGTGGCCGGAAAGGAACAGGAATATTCTAGGTAGTGCTTGGCACAAGCCAGGGTGTGTCTGGCCGGCCGTGTCCCTGCTCTGCACATGCAAACAGGGGACCAGGCTAGCTTTTCCTGGGGGTGCTGCCAGGTGAGGTGTGGGAGGGGCAGGTCCAAGCCCTATCCTGGGTTCACCCACTGCGTCCCCCCCTCCATTCCCTGCTCCCGCTGCTCCCCGGGCGCACTGAGCAGAGAGGAGTGGAACACCAGAGCTGTCAATCTGTCTGTGCTTGGCTCCCTGCAAGCCTCCCCCTCCGCCCTCCTGCTTCGTCCCGGGAGCTGTAGTGCATCCCCCGCAGGGCCATGTAGGGCCAGGGCTCCCCATTCCCCAACCTCCAGCTCCGCCCTGCCCTGCCAGGGGGACGGGGGTGCAGGGCTTTGCTCAGCCTGGGCGGCCAGAGCAGCAGACGTCCAGCCCCTCCCGCTTCACCCTCCTCCCGTGGCCCAGGCCTGCCATCTGCAGGCAGGGCACCGAGCCCAGCAGCACCCAGGGCTTCCACGCTTGTACCAGCCCCTGCCCAGGCCCCTGCGCCCCACTGGAGGATGGGGAGAACCCTCCACACAGCTCAGCCAGCGACAGAGACCTGGACACGCCCTGGCAGCTCAAACAAAGGAGGCCGAACCTCCATACCCCATGCCCAGCTGGCACAGGGGCAACGGCTCCCAAACACCCCTCGCGCTCTTTCCTCTCTGCCCTCCCCCAGCAGAACCGCCCTGACCCCCTTGATCCCCAGGGCGAATGGAGCCAAGCTGCCCTGTTTCTCCCAGTAACCCGCCCTGCTGCCCTCTCCAGCGCTTGCTGGCCCCGTACCACAGAGCCAGGGTCTGGTGCTCTGCAATGGATGTCAGGGCAGGTCCCCACCTCGAACCACCAGCTCACCCCCTCCCAGGAACACCCAGGCCAAGCCCACCTGGAGCCCTTCTCCATGCCCAGAAGGCCTGTCCCATCACAGAACGATGCATTAGGATTGGAAAAGGTGCAGAGAAGGGCCACAAAAACCATCAGGGGATGGAACAGCTTCTCTACGAGCAGAGAGAAAATCTGGAACTGGTTCAGGTTGGAAAAGAGCCGACTAAGGGGATATGACAGAGGGCTGTAAATCACGACCGGTGTGGGGAAAGCAAAGAGGGAAGTGTTATTTACCCCTTCACATAACAGGAGAACCAGGGGTCACCCAATGAAATTAACAGGCAGCAGGTTTAAAACACACAAGGAAGTACTTCACACAACACACCTGTGGAACTCATTGCCAGGGGATGTTGTTCAGGCCAAAAGTACAATTGGGTTCAGAAAAGACTGGACAAGTTCCTGGAGGATAGGTTGGTCCATCAATGGTTGTTAGCCAGGACGGTCAGGGATGCACCCCCATGCTCTGGGTGTCCCTCAACTTGGGACTGGACGACAGGGGATGGATCACTGGATAACACCCCGTTCTGTTCATTCCCTGGGAACCATCTGGCACCGGCCACTGTCAGGGTTAGCTGGACCCAGGATGGCCGTTCTTTCCTCCCTGAGCCCGTGAAGAGAGTCTCTGAGCAGCAATGCCAAGTGCCAAACGGATGGGTCCGTCCCCTGTACTCCCTGCCCGTCTCTGCCTCCCCGAACGCAGCGCGCTGGATGCTATGGCGTGGCCTAGCCGGGGACTGGGATATGACACCCCCAGACAGGCACCAGGCTGATTCCCCTCCCCCACCCTGGATCTCACGTGGGCCCCAAGCCACTACTGATGCAAGGGGGCGCATGGTGAACACTCCCCCAGCACAGGAGGCGTTAGGAGAACCCAGGAGTCCTGTGCGCTCAGCAGCAAGCCATGGCCCGTGGAAGCCAGATTCATGCCAACATTGCTGGATGGGTGCCCTGCCCCAGACACACCGGAGCTCCGGGGAGACACAGTGACCCAGTTTTCCCCCCCTCCAACTTCCCAAGCAACTGCCCCCCAATCATCGATCACCCGTCTCTCCTAGCGCCCATGGCAGTGCCTGGTTACCCT